CCACATTATCAGAAGACATCAGTCTTCCTTTCGGCAATTCTCGCGAAATATTTCTTTCGACTCATGATTTTTTTCCTTCCGTGCATTTCGTTGTGTTTGTCGTTTTATTTTTTCTGCTGTAATTCTTCCTATTTTTCTTTATTTTTCAATTTTTCTGATGTTTCGCTTCCTTCATTCTTTGTTCGATGTTTTGCTGCTTATTTCATCTCCCTTTTTGGATGTAGTGGCTATAGTTTGTCTTTTTCTTTTTTTTCCTCTTGTACTTTAATTTTTATTAGGTCTTTTCTTTGGTTTTCCTTTTGCAAATGCAAAAACTTTTGCTTCATAGAAAGGCGGAGTGGGATCTGTGGTAATAATTATGATAACAATAACACTAATAGTAGTGGGAGTAATAGTAATAATAACAATTATATTAATAGTAATAATAATCAGAACACGAATAAGAATAAGAAGAATATACGCAGATCTGTGGCAATTTTGTATTGCGGTTCTGGTGGCGCGCACTGGGCAGCACTATAGAAAGGAATTTGAAGGGGAAGCGAAAGAGGGAGGGACAAAAGGCAGAGGCAGACAAAAATCGAAAGGAGACAACGAAGAGAGAGTAAGCCGTAGCCGCACCGTTTGACCCACGCCAATATATAACTCATTCCCAGTCTTCAGTTGTTTGCATTCTTGAATGATATGTATATCAGGAAATATGGTTATCCAAAAATGGTGGGAAAGAGGAACGAAGAGACGAAGGGAAGAAATTTTCATTCATTGATGTGTATTTGAAAAAAGAAGGAGAATTAGTCAATTCTTAAAAAAGTTTCATTGATATTAAACTGCCACAGAAAAAAGAGTATATGCAACATGTACTTTGGGTATCATAACGGTATTCGTTGCTCTTGTTTATGTTGCTGTTGTTGTTATTATGGCCGGTGGCGGTTGAGAAATACCTATCAAACGATAGTTCGTTTTCAGCTTATCGTATGTGCATTTTTTAAGACATTTTTTGTGGTGCTCTCATGGTCTCATCTCATTTTATGTGATGC